GGGTGCCAAAAGTCCCTTTATTTACATATTCTTGATTTTCAGCCCTGTGTATCTGCTGGAACTGCTGTTTTGAACACACACTGCAGCAATGTTTCTGCGGTGCTACAATCAACCAAAGTGCCTTGTTATCTTTACAACACAGTCATGAACTCCCTGCCAGGATTCCCTAAAAACTAGGGAAGCAAGGGTCCAGTTTTCCTGACTCTGAGGCTCCCCAAGGCCATCAGAGCTGGGGTCACACCAAGCACTCTCCCTGAGCTGGGTGAGATGAGCACTTCAGCTTTGGGATAACATCAAACCCAGCCTGCACAATGGCACCACCTCCCCAACACCCCAGCAGCACAGCTGTATAACCTAGTCAACCCAGACCTAAACAGTCTTTTAAAGGTGTTTGCAGGAAAGTAAAGCAGCAGGGTTCTGCTCACAGGACAAGCACACTGGGAATTGCATGCTGTTCCCATATAGCACTGCCACCTTTCTGCTTCCCTCCTTCTGATGAATGCAAGTGGTTGAACAAAGCTCTAGCTAATTTTGCAATTTAATTGGATTTTCTAGAAACTCAGTCATCAGTTCTGAATGAAAAAAAAAAAAAAAAAGACTTTGCTGAGCTCCCTGCTCTTTCCTTTCCAGGCAATGCTCTGCAGGCAGAGCTGCACAAACAACTGCAAGGGGAGCAGCAGGGGCTGGTCAGCTGGGATGCATCAAAATGGGGTAGACAGCAGGGTGAGGGAGGGGATTCTGTCCCTCTACTCCACGCTAGTAAGACCCCACCTGGAGTATCTCCTCCAGCTCCTAGGCCCCCAAAGATAAGAAGGACATGGATCTGCTGGAGTGAGGGTGACAAAGTTGATTGGAGCATCTCTGCTATGGGGACAGGCTGAGAGAGTCAGGGCTGCTCAGCCTGGAGAAGAGAAAGATGCCAGGAGATCTTACTGCTCCTTCCAGTGCCTGATGGGGCTCCAAGAAAGATGGAGTGGGACTTACTACAAGGGCATGGAGTGATAGGACAAGGAGGAAGGGCTTTCAGCTGACAGAGTTTAAGATTGGATTATAGGAGGAAATTCTTGACTGTGAGGGTGGTGAGGCACAGGCACAGAGAAGCTGTGGCTGCCTCATCCCTGGCAATGTTCAAGGCCAGGGTGGATGGGGCTTGGAGCAGCCTGGAAGAGTGGAAGGTGTCCCTGCCCATGGCAGGGGGCTCAGAACCAGATGATCTTTAAGGTCCCTTCCAACCTAAACCATTCCATCATTCTAGCCTCAGAGGAGATCACTTCTCCCTGTATAAGACCCCCTGTCTCCCTTATAATTCCAATAACAGAGAAAGTATTAACTTCTGGAGGTGTTTGGGCTAAATATTTTATTAAGCTTTTTTGTACTGCATCTCTCCAACTTGTCTTGGTTTGTGGTAAAAACGCACAAAGAGACTGACTAAAATCATTCTTCCCTACACTCGTGATTTAAGAGGTGGACATACTAGGTAGATTTTCAACCAGGGAAAAGGTAGGAGATTATAAAATTAATATAGATGTAGACCTAGACAGCAAATTTTTTCCCAGTGTGCCCTGAGAGTCAACCTCCTTGATAAAGTATTTTAATAGCAAGTTTTAGGGGTGAAGTTTTTAAGCAGACAAATTGTAGAAATAATAAAGCCCTAACACACACCATGGCTGACAAATTAGCTACTAAAGCAAAGCTTGGGATGGGAAGTGTTTACTACCACATTACTGAATTCACTCTTCTGCACTGCTGTTTACAGACCTGGAACAACACACAGGCTCCCATTTAAATGCATGCCTGGAGACACAGTTTCCAAAAGCACATTTACAGCAGCATGACCTCCTCCTCCTGGAGACTGCAGAGCTCCCCAGAAACCCACCTGGAGGCTCTGCAACACCTCTGGAGCTCAATTCATGAGTCCTCTGTAGCCAGCTCTGCTCCAAGCTACAGATGGGTCCAGGTCCGTGTGTGAATCCCACACCCAGCCTAGGGGGTGGCCAAGGGGGAATGAGGAACAACCACGTGGAGAGAAGATGCCCAGTCAGGTAACATGCCTGAGGATCTGAAATACCAGGAGGGAAAACCACTGCTGCAGAAATGCCACCAATGCTGGGAAAAATAAAAGAAGCCCAAAGGACAGGCAAGGGCAGTAGTGTTGTTTTTCATGGTATAATCACTATGGGCATGGAAGAAAAGTTTTCCATAATTCCAGAGGATTTTAATGACAATTAAATAACCTGCCATTATTCTTAATACCATGCAGGTGAACTGTACTTTGCCTACAGAAGAAGTGGTGGCCAAGGTCAGTAATAAAAGAAGTCAGTATGAGAAGCCAGGGTGAATGTAAAACCCCACACTTTCCAAGACAAGCCCTGTGGCATTTCATACTTTGGTATGGCTACAGTGTCTAAAAACAATCATATTTACAGAATTACAGTAAAAGTAACTGTTTGCTTCCAGGTATATTCTTTGAAACTCAATATGTGCTGATAAGTTTAACAGAGAAACTTTCATCAATAGCACAACTAAATAAAAAAAGCTGTATTCTATAATTTACAAAGTGATATCTTACAAAGATATTTACCCCAGGTCCTGATGCAGCTCAGCTGTTAGAGTCAGCCCTCTGCAATACTGTATGCTTCCATTATTGCCTTATTTCTCCACTGAACAGCTCATACTCTCACTTGTAAAAAAAAAAAAAAAAAGTTGCTCTGGGCTCAGGTCTGACATAAAACACTTAACTGAGCAACATTAGTGATTTAAAAACAAACTTCAAAAACCCAGTGGCCATTCTTTTTTGGTGACAATTACCAGGCAACTGGCTTTTTTGGCTTGAATTTTTTCTCCTTCACTCCATTAACACAAAAATGTCTCTAGAGCAAAGAAACTAATCACTGAAGTATTAAATAATCAAGAGGAGTTATGTTTAAGTAAGTACCTCTCTACATACGGCACTAATGAATTCCAATAGCTTTACCAAGTACAAAAGCACTGAATGGTTTTGTAATGCCCAGTAATTTTTATTGTAAAGAACTCAATTTATGTTCTGGTTTGGCAGAGGATGGGCAGCTCTACTGCTTTGTGTTGACTTTAGTGGTGCTCCATCTACTTGTCCTCCCACAAACTCGTTCTCTGTGGACAGATCAAGGTGTCAGTATTCAGTAATATAAGGGACAGTCATGTTTGTTCACTATGTACGTGGACATCTCCAAGAAAAAGTGCATTTTTGCTGCTGTGCCAATAAAAGAAAGATATGGGAGAACACACACTGATCCTTTCAGACCTTAGAGCAGTGCTCACAAAACCTGGCAGACAGCCCACATGCACAATTCTGCTCTGCCTTAGCACCTACATACATGATGGGCTCACTGATGTAAAACATGTTGGATGCTTTTGCTCACAGTTGAATATGTCAATAAATCTTTTGAGATTAAACAGGCTCACATATAGAAGTAAGTTTTGTTTGTTACTGCCCTGGAAATGCCAACTGGGCTTAGAGCTGAGCTGGGTTTTCTCTCATCAACTGTAACATGAACTCTCCATCTCACCTGAACTCAAGGTAAACCTACAGTTACATCTCTGCTCCTTTGCTATTCCAGAAAGGGTTGACTGATGGTTCTGGCTGATGGGAGAATTTCCCCAGGCTCTGTGGCAGAAAAGCTGCTGCTCCTGAGCATCAGGTGGAACCTCCCTGCACAAGCAGTGCTTGGCAGGCTGCTGTGAAACAGTGATTTCCTGCAGAAAGGGACTCAGGTTGAAAGCCAATGTCCCACACTGTACCCTGGAGCTTACCATGCTGCCCACAAGTCCTACCTGGGCCCATCTGCCCAGGTGACCAACACCCAGCCCAGCCACAGACTCCTCCTGCTCACTGCAACACAGGAGCAATCCAACTCAGTGCAATTTGGTCCCTAAACCCTTCTAAGCAGTGCAGAAATCTCGCTGCATGTGAGCCAAACTTCCTGGGCTGGGAAACCACCCGAGTGCCACCACGATGTTCCACAGCCTGCACAAGTGTGGTGGCTGAGCAAAGCCAGCACAGAGAACAGCACAGAGGGCTGCTGGCTCAGTGCCACACAGCTCAAAGCCCATAAGCTGATCCACTTCCATGGCACCCCCCAAAAAAGATAAGAGTTACTTACAGTGCAAGTAGTACAGTGACCTACATAAACACAGCTCTTTTGTAAACAGGAGTCAAGAATGGCAGGAACAAGCAGCTAACAGGGAAACACTGTCAGATTTTAATCTTCTTTGGTTTTAAGCAAACTATTACAACGCTCCCGCACCTTTGCCCCATCTCCAACTCTTCCCTCCCCACATGGAGCAGCTCAGTTGTGTCTCAAGGAAAATCTCCTCTGCAGAACAAGCCATAGTATCACAGTACATTTGTCCTTGGTGTTCAAATGGAGCACCAGGATTTTCAGAACAAGACAGCCTCAGTTTCTCAGGAGGCTGAGAAATTCTCAAAATGTGTTTTTAAAGAGTCAACTAAAAATAAGAAATAATCTCATTAAATGCAGCCCAAAACTGGAATGAATTACTAAAAGATGGAGAATCAGCTCTTTTTTGGTAAATCAGGAGATGCTACAGCACATACCTCTGCCTGGCATCTATTTGGGGGTACATTTTGTGATGTTAAAGGAGGCAGAGGACACCTGGAGAGCAGGACCAGCCTTCCAGAGCTACCCAGGGCAAGCACAGCACTCAGGGCAAACTGAAGATGCTGGGACATCTCAGCTCCCAGTCTCACACCCCAGGGTAAGTCCAGACCCTTCTGCTCTGACAAACCTGAAAAGAGGCAAAGCCCTTAATGGAAACCCAGGCCATGCAAATACCAGTTTCAAATGCTACCAAAAGTTTTTTGGAAGATTAGAAGGCGGTGGGAAGGTGTTGGTAATTGGAGCCATTTGCTGGCAGGAGGAAAGGGGTAGCTTGGTTTCAGCACAAAGAGTTTGTGTATAAGCCACAGCAAAGAGCCTGGGGATCTGCACAGAGCTACTCACAGCCGTGGAGAGCTTCCCTTCGTTCTTCTGCGCGTGGACGACGGCGTCGCGCACCACGGAGAACAGGCTCAGCAGGACGTGCTCCATGTCATAGATGCCATGCATGCCTCTGGTCAGCCCCTCCAGAGACTGGATGTACTCCTTCCAGAGGTGATGGATCTCCAGGACGCCCGCCAGGCATCCCTGCATCACCGCCCCGCAGTAGCCGGCGCAGGGCTTGGCCAGGAGCAGCCCCTGGCAGTGGGAGCAGTACCACATCTTCAGCAGCGCCCGCCCGCAGTCCTTGCTGAATTTCAGGTGGTCAGTGGTGTTTATCACCTCGATCCCCAGGTTCAGCGCCTGCAGAAAGACTCGTGTAGCCTGCAGGGACTTGGACACCTGCGTCATCATCGTCTTGGGGTAGTTCCCAAAGACTTTGAGGTCTCTCCTGGCCGCCCGCAGACATTCGGTCATTTCCACAGAGGGATCGGGGAAGCCAGGGTTAATCAAGTGAGAGTAAACCAAAGGGAATAAACTGTCAAAAAATTCATTTATCATGTCATTGACACTGATGTCAGAGCCCAATATGTACAGTGAGATATCAGTAAAAAGTTCTCCAACAAATTTAAGAGCCCTGGGCCCCATGCTCTGGTAGTAGGTCCTAAACATGCTGTTGGTGAAGTTTCTTGCATGCCGCACTACAATTTCGAAGGCTTCTGCAAAACAGAACAACAACAACAACAAAAAATGTTACTAAGAGATGGTGAGCCCAGAAACAGGGAGGATAATGCTCTACCACATCACTGCTGCCAGGGCTGGCCCCATCCTGCCTGCCTTGGGTCAAACACCTGCTGGCAGCTGTGCCTGCTGCAAAACACCAGCATCAGCAATTTCCAGGGGAAATGCATAAATTCTTTGAACAGAAGCTACATTTCAAAATGGCAAAAAACCCTATGATCTAGTTAACATTTCAGCTTTTAAAGAAAATATTGATTCAAGAAAAGGGCTGGACTGCAATTTCTTTCTCTACCCCCTTTCATATTGATTTGAAATTAACAGGAATTCTATCTCCAGACTTAATTTAAGGCAGAGATAAATGTTTGACAATCTGTACAGTGTTTAAAATTAGGAAACAGTAAATGCTGACATTCCATTATGAAAAGGAAAATGTTTATAGGAGTTCATCACAGACAATATTCTGACTCTATCCCCAGCAGGTACCCTGCACCAAGTGTCCTCAAAGCCACTGGAAAAGCTCCCAGAGTGTTGCAATTTTCCTAGATGCACCAGGCTCACTTCAGATGCAGATCCAATGTTTCATCTGCCCTGGATGGGAACTGCTCCATTGTCCAAAGTGATGCTGAGAGCCAGTGGTGCCATGTCCCCCTGTGGGTGCCCAGCCAGGAACACTCTGATACACATCAGGCTGTCCCACACTGTCCCGTGAAATTCAAGTTTTAGACAGAGACTGTCATTTTGCTAGGAAAAACCACAATGCATTTTCCCACCTCTGCCTTCAAAAACTTTAGGACTTTCAGCCCACATCTCCTCCACAAGGTGAGCAAGGAAGCCCCCACAGTCATTCCTTCAATTATAGCCCTCCACATCAGGAGGCTTCCCAAATATCCATACCCCACTATATAAGGACAAGATACCTACACACACACACACACACCAGTTGGCATCTTAAAGCATTGAAAGGGGAGGCCATCAGTGCAAACAAAAGTACTTTTCTTTGGCCAGCTTGCTCTGCCAGCCCGTGTCCCACTCTCCAGGGTACTATTCACAAAATGCTAAAATTAATGAACAGCCTTTCAGTTCACAGGTCACTGACACCCCACGATGTAACTGCTCTCAACTCTGTCACTCTGGAAACACACATCCTGGCTCAATTTGCATGAAAATTATTCATGTTCAATAATTAAAGGGCATGTTTAATTTTTAAAGCCAGAAGAGTTATCTCCCCCATTTGTTAAGGCTGGAACGCAGCTGAGCATGGCCTGACACATCTCCACAGGGGTTCAGTATCAACACTGCCACAAGCAATGTTGGGCCTTGATGCTCACCCTGCACAACCTCTTGCTTACTCAAGAGATTTCAAGACCATCACTTCTCCAGGACTTTCAGCTCTTTCTTCCTGGGTGCTCCCTATTTAGGGATGCCTGGAAGGACAGGGGGCTGTTGCTGCTCCCCACCCCAGCATGCTTACACCAGCTGTGGTGAAAGCAGGGATCAGAGCAGAAACCACTGATAGATACACTTCTGCAACCAGTGTCTCCATCCCAGCTGGTGCCTGCACACCTCCCAGGCATGCTGCTGAAGCATTTTGCCCACAGCTCCAGACACTCACACCAGGAATGTCCCAGCAAGCCAGAATGTCCCATCTGTGTTCCCAGGGGACAGCATTCCCTCCTTCCTCACGGCACAGACTCATGCAGCAGTGCAGGGACACAGGGCCCCTCTCTCCCTGCCATAAAAGCCAGCATCCTGCTCCTCACCTCCAGACAGAGGATGGCAAAGCTCTCCAGGCAAGACAGCAGCAAGTGTGACACAGACTGGGCAATGCAAGCAGAGCAGTTGCACTATTACACTGTACGAAATTCTGGTTGTACTATTAAAAGTTTAAAAAAAAAAAAAAAAGTCTCTTTAAAGAGGGCACATGGATTACAAAACTTTTTCCCCCCACTCTTTATTCTCAAGAACACCAGAATAGCTTTTGCCTCAAAAAGCACAAAGAACATTTTAGACCAGTGTGGTTTTTTTTGACAGCAGTGGAGACGGTGCCAGGATTTTCATGCTGTGCCTCATGATTCGCCTTTACCCTCTTCTCTGTTAGTTCCCTTCAGAAAAAGTCATCACTTCTCCGTTTTCTCGCTCCTCTGTGCTTTGCCAGTTATCATCAGAGCCAAAAGACTCTTCACTGATTAGAAAAATATTCCAAGCTCCTATGCAAACCTCCTACGGCAAGAAGGGCTCCAGAAAGGCATGGAGAACAGTGGTGTATCAGAGAGCATGCACACACAGTCCCACTGCTTTAAAGGTCATGACATGCACATAATTTTTATCGTAATAACTGGCTGAGAGTGTCTATTCTATGCCCCTTGGAGCTTTTGCATATATCCATTAGAAAGCGCAACAGGGACTATAAAAGCATATGGAGACTCCTGCTGCCCTATTAATAGATGAAAGAAATAATAAAACTTTGTAAAAAAGAAGTCTTACACATCCAAAATCTCTCCCACCCCACTCCCACAGTAGCTGCTTATTCTGAAATATTCCTTGGAAAGCGCTGGCTGCAGGAATTTTAAATCCCCAGCTGCCAGAAGCTGCAGTGACCCTCAGCCAGGCTCCAAATGCTTCAAAGGGGAGGAAACTTTGCAGGTCAGACCCCTGTGCTCCCATGAGGGAACCTCACAGGGACACAGTGGGACAGTGCATTACAGACGTGACACAGGCGTCTGATCCCCCATAAAATCCCCCAGCCTGGATTTCTGCTGGTAAAATCTGCCCCACTCATAACATAGCACTATTGAAACTCAATGCTGGAAGATAATTCAATATTTTCTCTCTTCTATTTTTTTTTTCAAGGATATTTTCAAAAGCTGCCATTTAAGGTAGCTGTTTTGCAGGTCTGGCTGAAGCAGCGTGAATACAAAGCAAAGCATCAGGCTTGCCCCCAGCTTCAGCAGGCAAAAGCACTGCACAGCTGAGCAGGGCTCACATTTTACAATCTCCATCTCTGCAGAGTACACACACAGATGCACACATAGCAGAGTATAAGACATGTTCCTTTAAACACATTAGCAACAAAAGAATGGCTCAGGATAATTTCCATCCTTTAGTGGATGTTTAGGGAGAAGCACAGGGACAGAGGCTGAGGAAAAGGCAGATGTATTTAACACCTTCTTGGCCTCAGTCTTTAGTAAAACCAGTTTCTCTCCAGGCACCCAACACCCTGAGCTGGAAGACAGGGATGGGAAGTAGAACAAAGTCTCCATAATCCAGGAGAAAATGCTCAGGGCTCTGCTACACCACTTATACACACAAACAGGGCTGAGGGAGCAGGCAGAGGAACTCATGAGCTGCTGCCCATCATTTACCAGCAGTCCTGGTTACCCACAGAGGTCCCAAGTGACTGGAGGCTGGCAAATGAGACAGGACTTGGGAGGGTGAGATCATCCTGAGTGTCATCATGTGGCACGTACAAGACAGCCAGGGCATCAGGCCCAGCCCACGTGGGGTCATGGTCCTGCTTGACCAATGCCATCTCCTTCTATGATAAGGTGAGCAGCTTGGTGGATCAAAGAAAGGCTGGGGATGTTGTCTATCAGGACTCTAGGAAAGACTTTGACACGGTTTCCCACAGTATTTCTCTTGGAGAAACTGTCTGCTTGTGGCTTAGACACCTGTCCAGGAAAGAGAAACCAAGGGAGCACTTGCAGGATGGGAGGCAGAGCATCATCACCAGCCCAGCACTGGTGCCCTGGTGCTGTACATCTGTTGACTGCCTCAGTCAAGGGCAGTTTATCAGGACTCCCAAAGGATGAATGAAACAGCTGAACCTACTCCAGACTACAGATATCAGTCACTGGTTGAAAAGCACAGGCTATTACTCATTTGTCAGGCTGGACTCTTGCTGAAGTACCTGGAGAGGAATTGCTGCCTGATTCCAGCAGCCAGAAGGGAAGGACTAAGCTCCTTTCAAAGTGCAAAAAATTCCCCAGAACACAACCCAGGGAGAGCTGCGTGGCCACTGCAAACCAGCAATTAGAGAAAATAAATTGTAAAAGAGCATAACAGTGCCCTGAGTGGGGATTACTGGCAGGAGAAGGAAATCGCTGTGTTCTCAGCCCAGATAATAAGAGTCTGCTGCTTAGTAAAAATGCCAGCTTTCCTGAGAAAGCACGTTGGCTCTTAAGCTGCAGCAGACTTCAAAGGGGTCGGCGGCGAGGCCAGAGGAGCTCTGGATTAACCTACAGGCTGCCCCAGGCTGCAGGAGGCTCCTGCCCAGTCTGCCACTTGATAGGTTTATTTAAGAGATTATGTGATGCAGTTGCCTGAGCCACAAGGGGTTGGTACAAGTGACCCCAGCAAGCCATTCCCATCCAGCATCCCACTGGAGAGGGGAGAGCCAAAACCTGATGGCAGCTGCAGAGCTGGGGCAGCTACAGCGATGCACCTCCAATTCCAAGCTCAGCAAGTGCTGCTTCACAAAGAGTTGAAGGTGTTTAGGAAGGTGGAACAAGGTCTGTCCTCCTTCTGCCTCCCATGCCAGCTCACTAAAGACCAGCACCACAGGAGCCATCTCCACACACCACTGTGACCACTGGGAGGAGGGACAGCAGGGTCACCATGGCAGTCAGACACCAGGACGTACCACAGGCTCATGCTGCCCCTCCACTGATGTGCTGCTCTGCCTTTGCTGTAAAGACAAGCTTCCAACAGGGACAGCTGCCCTTCTCTGAGTGTCACACAGCACAGCAATCAAGTCCTCTTTGGCAAAGGCTCAGCAAAGGTGAAGCACCTGCACAGCAAAACCTGCTGCACCAGCAGCTCACCATCCATGGGCAGCTGGGAAGGGAGCAAAGGCAGAGGTGCAGAACTGTGTCATCCATGCACCCCACAGCACATGAATACCAAGGCACTAGAACTGCACCTACAACACTGATTTTCCTGTTTCTTGACATCTAGACACGTAAATCCTGCAACCATAAAC